GATCATATGTAATTATATATGCTTTGACCTAATAAAGATACCGGCGAGGCTGCCGATAGATTGGAAAAAAAAAAAAAAAATTAAATATAAAATTCACATATTGTAAATTATTTTATTGCTGGTAAGATGTCCAATAATTCTCCCTGTCAAAGCCAAGAAAGTACAGAAAGCAATTCAGAAAATTCTATCAAACAAAATGTAAATTTGGATGCTTTACAAAAGTCCACATCGAACGTATTTCACATACAATGTACCTCTATACAAGAATTTAGCAAAGGGTTTTCATAAAGTATATATCTTAAAGATGGAAGATGGTAAAGAATATATTGGAAGAGTAGTATTCCCTGTATATTCACAATAGAAGACAAAAAGTAAGGTAGCTGTTATGGAGTATATTCATTTAAATTCGAACATCCCTGTTCCCAAAGTTTATTATTGGAATAGTTCTGTCAATAATCCGGTAGGAGCAGAATATATTTTAATGGAATATTTATCTGGCATTTATCTTTGCAATATTTGGAGTAACCTCAGCATGGAAAAAAAAAAATGTTTCTATTAAAAATTATTAACATTCAATTGGAACTTAAAAAACTTTCATTTTCAAAAATTGGTAGTATTTTTTTTGATGGTAAAAATGATCAATTTAAAATTGGTCAGGTGATTGAAAGTGACTTTTTTACTGGTGAACGAGCAACTTTATCAACCATGGAAAGAGGTTCTTTCAACACAACTAATGAATATATTTTAGCTGTTATTCGAAACCAGATCCTTTATCATTATACCTTTAAATCTATAGAACAACAAAAATACTAGATTCCAAAATATGAAGAATTATATAAATTAGTTTCTAAATATTTTCCAGATAAAAGCAAAACCACATTTGTATTGATGCATGGAGACTTTCACTCATCAAATATTTTAGTCAATGATGATGAAATCACAGGAGTTATCGATTGAAAATTTTCTGCCGCATTTCCAATAGAGTGCCTATGTACTTTTTCAGTTTGGATAATTAACAATCAAATGATAGAACAAACTAGCAAGAAGTCTGAGGAAAATGTAATACTACAGAAATATTTTTGCAATGAAATATCTCATCGTAATCCTGATTTTATTCGCATATTTGACAATATAAATACAGATGAGGAAAAAAAAGAATTTTATTCTGTAGTATTTAGTCAAGAAGTATAGAAAGTATAAGATTTTTTTATAAATTTGGAAATAGAATTTCTAAAAAATTATTCTAATTCAAATTATAGTACTAGCATTGAAATAATGTGAATATTGATAGGTAAAATATCCAATTAAATTTAGTTTTTATTGTTTAAACAATAGAACAGAAATAATCTTGGATACTCTTATTGATCTGTTAATTCAGAACTAGGGTAGTTTAAAAAAATTTATCGTAATTAAAACGTGCTTATGGTAATAATTCAATTATAAATTTAATGGATATAAAATCTAATAAAAATTATAATTTTGTCAATTAAATTGCATTAAGAAATTTTCAAGGATATTATTATTTTTAAAAAAATACTACAATCAAATATAAGAACATTTATTCTAAAAATATTTTAATAAAAAAATAACTCAACTTTA